CCAAAACAAGGTGATTACAAGCCTTTAAATAGGCCAAAGGGTCGTTCAACATGAGGAACACCAAAAGTCTTTCAAATCCTATTTAATGCAAATTGTAGAAAATAAGACATGCAAATTAAAACATGATTGCACATCAAACTAGACAACTAAATGTGAGTCCAAAAATGTAAAATTGCTTTAAATTGTCTTGGAAATCACATGTAGGAGGCGCTTTACGTTTGTATGAGATTTGACAAGCTTTGACATCACAAACTCCCAAGAGGTGCAATCTGCAAAGGCACCTGTTCACCAATCTGCACACTTTTTTTGTCCTCCGTGCCATCTCTCAAAATAGACAACTTTTCCCGTGCCATCTTTGCTCCATTCTCTTCTTGACTCATTAAATTAACATTGTAAAGAATTTTTGCCTCAGAAATCTTTGTCTCCTCGTGTGCATTAGCTAGCCTTTGAAGATGTATTATGAAAACCTCTTGAATCTTCTTTGCTTTGCTTCTTGTAATTGGTCCCCCGGGTACAGTCAATGGATCCGTGGTTGGATTTGCATCAGTGGTTACTTTGAGTTATCGTGGACATTTGAAGCATATGTTTATTGTAGTGTAAAATGGATTAAAAGTCAAATTTATAGATGGAAGAAAATTTGGTTGAAGTCCCTCCTTTCTCCATGTCGAGGCGGAGAGTTTTTCTCATGAAAGATTATTTGATATAGCTAGAACAATGTAATGGGTAGTTTTACAATGAAAGAGAAAAGAGAAACTAAAGAATGTGTTTAAAATAATGTAAATAAAATAAAAGGATTTAGAAGGTAGTTTTGAAAATAACTTTATAACAAAAAATGTGGTCTAAATATTAAATTTTAAAGTTGAGATATTTTTTTCTAATTAATGTAAAAAAAAAAGAGTAGATCTAGAGGGAATGAAGGAGGATTAACGAGCAAGGGAGGGACGAGGGAAGAGAGAATAAGAGAAGAAAAAGAACAGAAAAAAATGAATTAAGAAAAACTTTTAGCTATGCTAAGTATGATAATTTCTCATGATAAGATATAAACAATATGAATAGCTCCCACGTGGCAATTTTAGGATGACTTGCAATTTATATTTTATTCATAAGCATCTCAAACGGTTTAAGTTCTAAATGGTACTTTTTAATGCAATATACTAAAATTATATGATTTGAAAACTTAATTTTGTTTTATATTATTATTTCTTCTAAATTATAAAATGCGATCTGCCGTCCATATTGAATATATTTTTTAAATGGTACTTTTTAATGCAATATACTAAAATTATATGATTTGAAAACTTAATTTTGTTTTATATTATTAATTCTTCTAAATTCTAAAATGCGATCAGGCGTCCATATTGAATATATTTTTTATGAGCTTCAAACTTAGGATTGCGGCCGCATGGAAATATGAAATAAAGAGATAAATAAAGAGATAATATCTCTGAGGAGCTGTTTTAGAAATTTATTTACAAAAATATCTAAAATTTTCTAGTTTTATACTTAGATTTCTGCAAGTAGGATTTTATTTTAATATCGATTTTACGCTTGCATTTACATTTATTATAGTTATTTATTTTTTTAAATATAAAAGATTTAATTTGATAAATTATTATCATAATTCTTTAATTATTGTGGTCCCATACAAATTTTCAACACTTAATTCACTCGTTCAAAACTTTAATTCACTCATTCACATTCTCTTGATTTACCAATATTCTCGCTCTTTTTTAATTTCCCACTGTTTCCCTTATTCAACCGGTAAGGTGTTCACTAACCTCCCCTTTTTGAGCATTCTATAAAACATGATAGTAAGTATAACATATTGAATATAAAATATATCCAGTATAACATAGCTGTGAAATATTATGATTAAACTTTTTGAGATATAAAATTTATCCAAATATAATTTAAATCTCATTGTATTGCTCAACATAAAGGATGGTATCCCAAATGTTTAAGCCATCATAGTATATATCCGCATATATACAAGTTGAGTTATAAGATATATCCTAGTCAAATCAAAAATTGAAAACAACCGTCGAAGACTACTTGGGTATGGGAGGAAGATCGAAATGATTTAACAGTACAAAAAAAACAGAAATTTCAACCTTGTTCAAATCTGAAAGAGAAAGCTATTAGGAAAATATAATTAAGCAGGACTAAATTGTAACCTTCAACTTTACAAATTTTAAAAATTATTTAATATTTGAGGTGCATCCTAAAATCATGAGTACTCGTCCCTAAAATAAATATCAATGTAAAATCTAGTTTGGTTTTTTTTTAAAGAATTAATTATAGTTTAGTTTCAAACTCTATCTGTTCATTTTTTTACTCATACTTGTTATCTCAATTTACTTTTAAAATCATTAAAAAATCTATTTTAATTTTTGAACATGGCATAAAAAATCGTTCACACAGATTAAATATGTTACTCAACCGCACAATAAAATCTATCTCGAATAACTATGTGAGTAAAAAAAACGATAAACTTCAATTTAGCCAAATTCATTTGAGATTAATCAAATCAATCATATTGCAGCAAAAGAAAAAAAAAACATAAAATATCATCAAAATATTAAGAGACGTAGCTAATGAAATTTTTGCTATCTAATTTATTGATGAATGTATAAATCTATGAGGGTTCAACATCTTTTTCTTTTTTTCTCTCGCTTTAATTTGTACAACATCAACTTTCCATTCTATCATTTCTTTTCCTTTCCTTTCTTTTCTTTTCTTTTCTTTTCCGGGAAAGAACCAAATCAAAGAAAAAAAAAGAATTTAAAGACCCAATCTCAGATCCAAAACAATCCCTGAAAAATAGGAGGAGGTTTCTTCAACGTCTTCCATTGGAGGAGGCAGATTCAAGTCCAAATAATCCTTCCCCACCGAAGAATTTTGCTGTTCTTCATCTTCTTTCTCCCAATGCCGCCTCTTCATCACCTTCATACAAACTCTGCACTCGTTCGCCGTTTCCCCGTTCTCTTCGACGGCGTCGGAAAACTCGCCGCCGTCCGTCCTCCCGCCGGCGAAGCATCCCTTCACGTTCTTGTGGCTCGCTCTGTGTCCTCCTAGGGCCTGATGCGACCCGAACGATTTTTTGCATCTCGAGCACTCGAACCGGCTAAATGGCGGACCGGTCCGCTCCATGAACCGGCTCAACGCGTCCACTGCCGGTTCGGATTCCTGGTCAGTTTCGGTAACCGCTTCGGTTGTTCGATCGATCGCATTGGGGCCATTGGCGAGCATGATCAAACACGCCGCGATTTCGTGATCTTCCTCCGTCGCCGTCGCCGTTTCCGACGATCGCCGGAGATTCGGCGGCGGATTGATTCCTCGCCATTGACGCTCCGGATGGCACCGCATGTGGCCGAACAGAGCCTTCCACGACCAGAATTTCTTCCCGCACTCACTACAGGGCCGAGTAATCTTCGGCGCGCTCGGGTCCGGCTTCTTCCCGTACTTCGGCTTCGCAATGCCGCCGGAACTCGACGGCGCAAGAACGTGATCGCTCATTTTGATCAATTTGGTACGCTTCCGACGGCAATTTTGGGCGGCGACAGCGGAAGTGGAAGCAGCAGCGGCGGCGACAAAAGCAGAAGCAGGCCGAAAGACGTTGAAATGAAAGAGAGAATCGGAATCAGTGTCCATAACGAAGAGATTTCAGATTTCAGAAATTTGGTAACGGAGAATTTGAAGCGGAAGTAAAAGAGTATAATGATGGAGGAGGCCTGGTTTTTGTAGGCCGATTCAGTTACAGGAGAGAGAAATTCAGTTACAGGAGAGGGAAAGAGTGAGAGATTTGAATTGAAGCGGTTAATTTTTTTATAATTGTTTTTTGTTTTTGAAAAAAAATATTTGTAAAGTTAGTTATATAATGGGGAAGGGTGGTTTATATGTTCGCAAGTTTTATCTTCTTCATTATTTTAACTGATTTTCATCCTTAGGATTAAAAAAAAAACAAACTGATTTTCATCCTTATCTTCTTAGCTTCCCATGGTTTCTAATTAATTAATAGCAATCAAGACATTTTCCAGTTCTATTATTCAAAATTAATTGTTTGAATTTAATTAATAATTAAGGGGAAAAAACTCGAGAATCAACTATGTTATTTAGCTGGACACGAACACTTCACGATTTAGAACGAGAGGAGAGAAAAATAGATGAAGAGAAAGTATATTCTAACGTCTGCAACTTTAAAGTATATATTCATCGTGGAAGTCAACTTAGGCCCAATATGCATTGTCACCAATGCATAATAGTCATATGTCATCTCGAATGGCCAAGTCATGTAATAGGTCATATGTGACAAATTTTAGTTTTTACTCGGTACTTTTAACGTTTACCTTTTATTTAATTTTTTTTTCCTTTTATATCTATGAGTGTCCAAATTAAGTCAGCACGTGCACACCTTAAATAATCTCACAAAACATCGTTTGACTCTATTTTGTTTAGTTGTCAAATGAAGCTCGCAAAATATAAACACGAGGTAGGTGGTTACTAATGATCAAACCCGATAAAAATGGATGACCAACAAGCCAAGGCGGTTAGCGTTTACCCTTTATTTTGGCCCTTAATACTTTCTATCTTATAAAATGGGAACATAAATTTGAATAGGATTAAACTAGGGAATAGAAGAAGAAAAAATATGCAAGTGATTTGGCTGGGAGAATAAATAAAAAGGGAGCTGAGTACTGAGGAGAGCGAAACCAGAGGGATTTTGTTTCCTTTTTCTTCCTGGTAACAGTCAAGACAGTTGCAATCTTTTCTTACAACCTTCGCCAAACACATGAAAATATTATTAGAGGGAGAAACAGTAGGCAGAATATTACAACAAACACAGCAAGCACCTGGTCAGGCGGCGAAACTCGGTGCGACCGCAGTACGGTAGTCGGTAGGCTATCTTCGCGCAGCAAGAAGAACAAGAACAACAGGGTGAAAAATAAAAATATGTTATGTCCATGCCCTTATGTCTCTGATCCGTCTTGATGAGCCAATGGCACTTTGATATTCTTCCCAGGATTTCCCAGCACATTCAGAACCCCAACTCGCTGCAACTCTTTCGCTGTCGGAAACAAAAGAGGAATCGTGTTACTTTGATCATATTATAGAGCAAAAAGAAACTGTCTGATGTTTCATAGCTGATAGATGCCTATCTGTGTGAACTAAAAAATACGAGGTTTATCAGAAATCAAAAGATGAAGCTTCAAATTTACTTTGGGGAGATAATAAAGGAATAACTATTTACAGCATTTCGCTATGAATCGAAAGGAAAGGCAGTGAGAGACTTCCTAGCAAGATGGATATCTTAAGGTTCATCAAATGGCAAGCCTTTCATAAAAGTAATGTTAAATGCTCATGAGAAACCAACTGACAGTTGTATTTCTCCTTGTATGTTTTAGATATTTCAATCTTTTGCAAAAGCAAAACAGTTCTGTGCCCAAGATTGAAAACAAATTTGAAAATTTTTCCAACTCAAAAGAGGGTAAGCTTTAGACAAGTAGGGATGAAGTCTCAACTAACATATTAACAAAAAATAATTTCACGAAAGTTTGATGTTATGCTATTGAATCACTATATTATCCAACCTCTGAGAATATCAGATATCCAAATCCAAGACTTCTTCAGTCTAAAGAAAGAAAATCACCGTAGCAAGTCAAAATTTAGAAGTAATATGGAAAGACGAAAGGCCACAATGAACAAAAATAATGGAATCAAACGTAATGTTTAGTTAATAACTTATTTTGTAGACCGCTAGTTCTTCCAAGATCACAGAAAAGGAACGTGAAGTTATGTAAAGCCAAATATCAAAATACCTTCCTCAAGCGAGAGCTGAATGGATCTCTTTTCCAACGCAACTGCATGCCTGCTAAGTTCAACTGATGACAGTGATCGAAGCACTTGTAAAAGGGAAATTATTCAATGAGTTAATAAGGTTCGTTCAAACTATTTCAGCAATAAGATGAAGCACTTTCTTAGATGTAAAGCATACCCTGAAGATAATCTTGTTGGTCTGATTGATCCAATTTATTCAATAACAACTGCAACTGATGATATCTGTCTTCCCACTGCAAGTTTTTCCATCCTGGTGGGATGCCTACTGAAGGGACAGTAGAAAGTGCAGAATGGAAGTTTGACTCTGCTGTAGCTAAATTAATGCCATACTTCCCAATGTGATGAGGAACTGAAGGTGTTCCAGATGCATTCATGGGAGGAACCACTGGAAAAGGAGCAAATGCTGGAAAGCAATGATTCTTTAGCTCCTTAACCTGAGATTTGAGATGCACGGTTTCATCTAGTTGACCAAGTTTACTTAGATTTGGATAATCAGCTTTTATGCTCGTACTATCACCAGGACTATTCTTCCCTATATCAGCATCGGATTTTCTACGGACGTAAACAAGATGCCCATTTGCAGCATTAGAGGTTGAAGAATGGAGATGAGGCGGACTCGTTGGGCAGACAGTTGAGGGTCTCTTGTTAGCAGAAACTTTAATGAAGTCACTACCAGGACCTCCTTCCTTCAAAAGAGGGAAGCTTCCAGTACAATTGGAAGCTGTGACCCTATTCTCATTTTGCAAGTCCCTTAATGCTGTCTTCTTTGCAGAAATCTGCAGTTGCTTTTCATGAGGCACGTCCTTCCCAGAATTTCCATGCCCATATTCACTGAATTTGGAGTCTATGGGTTTTTGAACCATCTGAAAAGTTTAAAATTTTAACTAAATACATAATAAAAATATTAGAGAGATCAAGTTACCGCAGTAGGACAATTTTGATAGTTTTTATATCAACATACACATGGATATATGAACAATAAATGTCAGGACGTGGATATATAACCATTTAGAAATTAGTATAATTCATAGTTTAACACTTGAAAGGAAAGTGAAAGAGTATTCAGGTATATATGCTAAAAGTTGTTTTAGATACTGTTTTTCATATTAAATTTTAAAGCAGAGTTACAGTCACAGATACCTTATTTGGAGAGATATTGCTAGGTCTTCTATTTCCATTTAATTTACACGTGTTAGCATACAAAAAATCTATAGCATTAGAGGGATCGTGTAACAGCATTAAGAAAATTCTGATAGTGTTTAGATCCAGATACGCATGGATAGATGAAAAATAAATATTAGCTTATGAACAATAAATGTCAGGACATGGATATATTTCCATTTTGATGGAAGCTTTCAAAAGGAAAGATAATTAATAGTAATGCTTTCAATTTGAGAAACAATATTTCCATTTTGTTGGCATAGCACAATTATTTTCATCCAACCAAACAAGTTTTAAGAGGAAAAAACTATTTTCCATGTTTTATTTGGTGAGTCACAAACTATTTTACATGTTTTGAAGTTAAAAAATAAATTTACTGCAGATTTCAAACATAAATAAAATAAGAAGGCTATCAGCCTATCACCAAACCAAATGTCAGAGTTTCCAGTTTCTCCAGAAACCATGGAATCTCCTCTCTAATCATTCTTTCTCATAACTATTTTTCTTCGTCCAGAAATCCTTTCCTAAGGGACAAACTTCTTAGAATTCCAAAACCCCTCTCGCTTCTTCATATTTCTACTATTTATAGTTGTTACAACACTAGATTATGAATTTATTGAAGAAACCTATAGCAATTAAGCTTGAGGTTTACTGTAATTAGTTAGACATAAAACAATATAACAGTAAATTGTAAGATAATAAAATCAAAGAACACAAGAAATATTTGACATTAAACAGTTGAACACATATTGTCCAGAGAGAGTATTGAAGCAGTTCCACATTTCCAACATTGTGACAAGAATATACCTTTTAATTTGTAGTACAACTTTTCAAGTATAATATCATCAAGATAGAATGTTAACTATTGACGCCACATTAGCAAAATTCTAGATAATAACAATAACTCCACGCTATGCAAGTTTTTTCTTTTGTGTGCGTGTGTGTGTGGTTAGAATAGATAGATCAAGGTATTTATCAGTGCATATGATTAATTTTTTCCTTCTGGATGCATTTAGATGGAAGAATCTTTCATCAACCACAGCCCTAGATTACATTTTGACATAAGTAGATTGAAACAGAGTGCCAAGCGAATTGATAACGAAGCCTCTTTTAGACACGATGGAGCTGAACCTCAGAGATAGAGTTTAGGTGAAGTAATCGCAATGACCGAAACCCAATACATTAACAAACTCATTGACTTGAAGAGCATAAATTATAGGTATCTTGCTTCTTCTATTCGTTTCCAGTTTCTCCTCGCTTCTCTTGCGATTAAAATGCGAAGGAGCAGGATGAAAGTGCAGCTTATTATTAGGCCACCGAATTATAAGAAGTTATAATTTTCCATTAGTTCTTAAGATACGAATTAGCTCAGAGAAAACCTAAAATCAGTACGACGCAGAACCAAATCCACAAGAATTCCTACGACAGAAGACAAGCAGGAGCTGATCATCGTCTCCATTTCACATTTACACTAAAACACGAACCTCTTCGTGAAGAAAAGGCAAATTGGTAAAACCAAATCTGAAGCAAATTTCATCAAGAAGCATTCTATTCTTACCTTAGCTCATTGGAATTGGAACCGCTCCGATGGAGAAGGGAGTGCCATGTGGAATCGGAAGGAAGAAAAGAAGCTTCACTTCTGAAGGTCACACAGTTTCTTCACAACACAGTCCCTCAAATTACCTTGAAAAATGGTTTCATATTCGCTCATCAGAATCAGAATTGGAAGCAAAATGTTCAACGTGCTACAAATTCAGAGCAGATTTTAACGAGATGAAGGATGCAACGCTTAGAACCTTGCAGAAAGACACGTGGAGCTGAACTATGGTTCAACGTTCGTGGAGGGCCAAAACTATAATTTACTTCAAGTTTACAAGTTATAAGTTAATTTTCGATAGCCAACCTCTAAGTTCCAAGTTAATTTTCCGATTAACAAGGGACATCCATCTTTTGTTGGTGGTATCTACCTTTTCCAAGTTAGTGTCGAGCTGGCTCTCTTTGAGTCGGTAATAGGTGACTCTATCGATTTCACTTTATCTTAACATGTTCGAACTAAGATTGGAACACGTGTTTTCTAGTGAGTGGTCCATGTGGTAAGCCTTGAACTTACCCATAATAGGTGAACTTGCATCACGTTAACCATCGATTTATATTCCAATAAACATATTTCTATCCCTTTTACATGACATCAACCTTTTTCATGTCGAGGTCAGTGAATTTTCGGTGGCATCCATCTTTCCAAGATTATAGTCGAGTCGGGCTCTCTTCGAGTTGGAGATAGGTGATTATGCGAGTCCCATTTTATCTCAACCTGTCTAAACTAAGATCCAAACACGTGTTTTCGACCGAATAATCCATGTGGCAGACCCTAACCTTCTTTCAACAATTTAACAGAGTTTAAGTTAACCATTGAATTAAATTTTTTTTAAAAAGTTGTAAGTTAAGTTTTCATCATATATTTGTAACAAACTATTCTCGACATAAATAAAAAGTTAGATTTAAATAAATTCACAATCTTGAACCATTATGGTCTAATCTAGAAGTCCAAAGGTGACCAAGGTAAATTCTAAAAAATTTAAAGGGAAGGGGTTCAAACTATAGTGGTCACCTACCTATAATCAAGTATTTTATAAGTTTCATTGACAATCAAATGTAAAAAGGTCAAGCGGTTGTTTCATCAGATACATACCTACACACTAAAACATTCAATGAAAATAAATCTACGATGACGGTGTCAAAAAAATGAGCAAGGGACATAGAGGGAGAGGCTCTCGAAGTCAAACGAAACTTAAAAGAACATGGTTGTTAGCATAATTCCTAGTTCTTTTGTCTCGAAGAGCCAACAAAGGGATTGGTCTGTTGATCAAGCTCAATTTCGATTTAGAGAAGATGTGGATTGGTTGTAGTGCGAATTTAGAAAAGATGTGGATTGGTTGTAGTGCGAATTAAGGAACGACATAATTGGTTATAACTTCTTTTTATAAGTTAAACATTTGAATCTTATATTCTAAGAAAACATTTGAATCTTATATTCTAAGAACACAAGAAATGAACTGTAGATATAAAACCAACTACAAATGCTTGATGAGAGTTAGAAGTGTTCTGAAGAAGATACACGTGTTGTCAACAAGAATTCTAATATAGCTACATTTATCTAAGTACTACTCATTATTATATCATTAATGAGTTTCAACTCTTTCTCCTATGAGCAATAAGCTAATAATACACTTCTTCTTCTGATACCATTACATGGCTAAAAGGCTATGTACAGTGAGTGGTTTCTTGCCTTTGATATGTCAGTTTGTCAAATTGAGCACAACAACAACATTAAGGAGGCAAAAGAAAAAAGAAAAGAAGAAGCAAATTCTGATTTACACTTTTTCTAAATCACAAGATATCTCCACAAATCTCCACAAAACGTTAGGGAATGTGTTCACACTTGCTCATATACTGCAAAAGTGAGTTTGCTTTTCTCTGGGCTCTACTTGTCCCACTTCTTGTGAGCTCTATCAAATGTTCATACACACCATATTGCAGTGCAACCAAGATGGAAGGTGAATTGTTTAGTCCCAGCTCTAGAAGTAACGATGTAGCGCATTCTTTGTTCTTCGGAGTCCCATCTTTCATGATGTTTACTATAGTTTCGATGAAAGAGTTATGGCTGAGCTCGGCTCGTCCTTCGGGATGTGATGTGAGGAGTAACAAGATTGATAAAGCTTCATCAACCATTCCCAGGCTTTTATCCTCGAGTAAACGGAGCAGTGGTGGTATGATACCACCTTTGATGGCCCGGGACTTGTTTGATTGGTTTAGTGACAAGTTGAAGAGTGCAGTGGCAGCGTCCTTCTTTCCTCGGATTGTCCCATCTCGGAGAAGATCTACTAATGGTGGGATTCCATTTAGAGTTCCGATCAGAACTTTGTTTTCATCCAGCATTGACAAGCTAAACAAGGCAGCTGCAGAGTTCTCCTTAGCCTCCTCTGTTCCATGCTGCAGTATTTCTATGATAGCAGGAATGGCTCCTTCTCTTGCTATGAGCCTTTTGTTCGAGTCGTCAATGGACAAGTTCAATAGAGCAGTTACGGTGTGTTCTTGGAATTTGAGATCTGGGTAGGAGAGAAGCTTAACCAATGGAGGGATGACTCCGCTATTTGCGATCCAAACTCTGTTCTCTGGGTTCTCTTTGGAGAGAACCCGGATATTGATGATAGCCTCTTTCCGGACATCCAACTGACTTGATGATAGATTATGGACTAAAGAGGAGATTTCGCGAGCGAGTTCGGGCGGAGTGTCACCCAATCCACCATCCTTTTTGGGTAATTCATAGTGGTTCTTTTGGCACCACTGCAGAATGAGGTTCTTGAGGGCATAATTTGGTGCCACTGACAAATGCGCCAAAGTTTGTCCAGTTTTCGGGCAGGTCCTGTGATTGGAATCCAACCATTTCTGTATACTTTCTCGGTCATAAGTCTGTGAAGAGACGAGCATAACCCTCTCAGTTTACAAATTATTGGCAGAGTTTTGTAGTAGTAACACTCTGAAAACATAAGATTGTAATCTTGATGTCAAGATATTAGGTTTTATTTCGAGCTCGGAATAAAAGTAACTTTCAATTCCTACTGAAGTTTGAATTAAAGATGTCAGTCTCATATGTCTATGAAACAAAAACACTCATTTTTCCATCAAGACGAAGGATCTAACAGATCTAACCCTTGAAAATTTTGAGGTTAAGACATCATGTGCAACTTCATTTACGTCCATTATAAACAACAAAAAGGTAACTATCTATCACAACATTTCGTCAAAGTATGGCCAGTTGCATGGATTTATAAGTCAAAGATTCAAGGCATGATTCTTGATTCTAGTAAATAATGTAAGAGAGATTTAGCACATAATAACATCAAGCCAAAAAAAAAAAAAGCAAAAAATTTTTGTTGCATAAATATCTTTGGATATTCAATTTACCTGCCCAGTTGCCACAATGACTGGATCGGTCATGATCTCAAGGGTAATTGGACAGAGGAATTCATGAGGGATTACTGCAGACCGACACCGTCGAAGACATTTCGATGAAACAGGACCATGAGGAGCAATATCATTGTCCATACCTGCAATTCCTTTAAACTTGCCTAGAAGTTCTAAAATTTGCTGGAGACTTTCAGAACTCGGCATACCTCTACTACGTTTAACTAATTTTTGAACAGCTTCAGTTTCTGCTTCCAAATCTGCAATTTTACGTAGTTCCAATTTATTTGCCAATCTTTCAAGTATAACAGGGTCTGCATTTCTCTCATCATTTTTAGAAAATACAACCATCATGTCCATTGCTAGTTCCATGTCTTGTGTATCTTTCCGACACTTTGCTCTTTTGAGTTGCGTGGACATGAGCTCAACCTGAATGAATGAGTTATTAAATAAATAAGAACTTGGAAAGGAAGAAATGAAGCAACTTCAACAAGATGCTAAGCAACAAAATGAGGAAAAGATACACCAAGATCATAATAGTTAACTTTGATGTGCATCAAATTTCACAATAAACTTCCAACCCATCTGTCAACCAGTAAAATTTCAAAGCGTAGAAAACACCAACACTCCAACACTTTATGTATGGACATTAATGTCTCTATAAATAAACTTCCAAAAGTTGCACTTTATATTAGTCTTAGATGGTAAAAAAACCTTCATAACTTTCTTCCCTACTGCATACAGGCATCCTCAGGTGAGAGACACCTGTGCTACTCCGGAAAAAACATGATATAGATCAAGTGCAAAAATGTTAAAGAAGAATCTGATAATAATAAGGTTCATTTGCCTGAAAACATAACTTTTACTAATCAGATTTGCTCTACTTCGGAAAGTAAATTTGTACGATATTCTGTTAAAAATAACTCAAGCATAGCACAAGTGATTCTTTCTTCATAAAATAGGTGTGGATGAGAGCTAATTCTTAGACCATCGAGGTTGAACATCTATTGTAATATGTGGATCAGAATTTCCACTTTTGGAAGCAGTAAAAACTAATAAATACATGTCTTCCTATCTCAAACCGCTAAGGCAGTGTTAAGTTGCAACTGATATCGTGCATTCGTGAGAAGATTAAGAAAGATTGCCAACTTCAGCTCAGTTTGATTTGATCTAAGCATCATACATCTATTCTAAAGGTCAAATGTTCAAATCCCACCCCGCATTATTAAACTAAACTAAAAAAAAGAGAGATCAAAGGTTTATAAGAGGCCTTTCTGAGAAAAAATTAAAAAAACAAAATACTCCATGAGACCAAAAGTTGACAACATCACTGTACAGAGGAGTCATTGTACAAACAATCAAAGTTACATCAAGTGAAAGGGTGAAGAAATCTACTTGCTCTTGCAATTCAACTGAGACTCCAAGCTCATCATAAGGCATCCCATCAAGGGCCTCCTTCAATTTGTCATAAACAGCATGAAACCTTGCCATCACAGCCTCATTCTCAAACGCCTAACCAAAACAAAAGGAACATCTAATCACACCAAATGAAGAGAACCCAGACTAAAAACGAAGGCATGAAGCAACAGATTTGTATGATCAGTGTGAAAAGCAACAAACAAACTAACCAGGTAAATCTTGCTTCCATTGTGGCAATTCTTCAGTAACCTTTTGGCCAATACAAGAGCCTCTTTCAAATGAGCGAGATGGGGACTCAAGGCCTCGGCGGGAACCATATTATGAAGGTCCCTTATCTCCTCCAAAAGCGGCACCAGCATCTTCAACCTCCTCACCAAATTCAAACACTCCTTCGACTGCGTCTTCCGAAATCCAGAAAACCCCCCAATGGCCGCGATTAACTCATTCGCTTCCGTCAATTCCTTAATCACCTCGTCACCCTCATCCCGGCCGCCGCTCGATGCCGGTGAACACCGACTCCAACCATTATTTCCAATCACTCCAAATTCTCTCTCCATCCCCACCTTTTTTTTTCTTCTTTTTTTTCCTTTTTTCCCTTCCCCCCTCCCCTCCACCCACTCTCCGAATCTTTGGAGTTTGATTGGAATTCTGAAGTGGGGGTGGGGGTATTGATTTAAAGACAAACCTTTTTTCCCGGAAAATTTGACATTTTCCCGAGAGAAAAAAAAGTTAATGGTGGTGTAGAAACTGATTGTATTAGTAGTGGACAAAGCGTCATTCGCGGCCTCCATGGTTTTGCTGTTGTTACTATAAGGAGCGAATTATTTCAACAAAATTCTTGTATTTGCAACCTATCTCACGCGTGTTCATACCCAAAATAACACTTCACCGAAATTCACTCCAATATATATATTTTCTCTTCATTTACTTTACGTTTTGGATATAATGATTCAAAAGTAAGATAATATAATATCTTAATTCTTACTCGTAAATGTGATCCCATTTTGGATATAACCAAGTATTTTAGTTCAGTGGATAAAATCTATTATCATTTTTAAATTTAGAGGATTGGATTATCCATCTACGCAGTTATTAAACTCAAATAAATAAATAAGAGTTTTCACTTAACTTTAAAGGATGAAAATTCATTCAACTTTGACTCGTATGATTTACTAAGGATCCAAGACTCCAATCAATATGAGCATAGCTCAACAATAATTGACATTTATTTCTTTATTTGAAGTCGAAAGTTTAAATTCTCATATCCCTAATTGATTGTGCGAACATACATCCATGTTCAGATTCGTTGAACACATGACGTATGAAAAAATACTAATCTACTCTCAATGTTGGTATTTCTTTTTTAGTTAAAAAGATGGATAAATAAGTGAATAGAAGTATTTTCTTTTTTTGTCTTTTAATTATTGAAAATAAATTTAAATAGGGATGATATTAGATGTGTGTAGATATTAAAATTAGATAATGTATTGGCTTTTTAGATATTGATGTTGAAAAAAAATGTGCTGATGCATAGTGTTAGGAGTCACATGGCACATGGGTTATTGTGCCTTGTGAACAGTTGAGTGATAATCTCATGCAACAACTAATAAAGAATATTCATTTTGAGTCATAAAATGGAGAATAAAAAAAAAAAGTTTTGATTCCTCAAAGAAAAAGCTAAATATATAATAAAAAATTCATTACAAAAATTTAATAATAAAATAAAAAAGGCTACAAATGTTTTTAACTATAAGATTAATTTATCCCATACGTCGTCTAAAAAATATCATTCATTCTCTTTCACGACTTAATGTGAATTGTTATTTTTGAAAATTTCCATAATATTTTCCTTAGCTCTTTTTTTTTTTCTCTCAAGTCCTAAACATTTAAACCATGACGAGTTGCATGTAAAATTTTTGTTTTGATTTTAGTGTGAGAAACTAACTAGTAATTTTTAGATAATATATTTAAAATAAAACTTTTTAAACAATATAGGTATTTATAATTTAAACTAACTCTATAATTGAGAGAACTAGGAAAAGCTCTATAGTTCAATGTCAGTAAATTATAATCACTCCAGGTATAGTTTAACTAATCAAAATACTGCTGACATGAGTTTAGTCTAACGATAATTAATACATGTATCTGATCAAGAAATCACGAAAATATAAATAATTGAATTTAAGTTTTTAAAATAATAAAAACTGAATTTTAAAAATTACAAATTTCGTGGTTTTGTTAGTCCAATAATATGTGAAATGGAAATCTTAATATCTGATTTTTTGCCGAAAGTTTATAATATAGTGTTACAAATTAATTTTAAGATCTAATCCACAAATATTAACAGGGATGAAATTTTAAGACGTAGCTGGCGAAGATAATATAATGAAAAATTTTTTGATGGGGGAGTGGAGAAGGTGGTGAAGTGAAGTGAAGAAGACGCGTAATCACGTGCTGAAATTTTGTTTTTTTTTTTTAAATTTTAAAAATTGTTATTAATTATTTATTTTTAGATTGACGTTGACGGAGTCTTCGTTTGGGAAACGGAGGGGACAGGTCTGGTTCCGTTTTTCGGGTAATGGGTCCCACCATCTGTCAGGACAGCGAAATCTAACGGTGGGATCCACAGCTGATATTTTCATCGCATACTGACAAAATATGGGTTTTCAATTTGACTGTTTAATTAGTTAAATCATCAATTTTCTCATCTATTATTATTATTATTATTATTATTAAGGTTGGGTTGGATGGGAGAAATCTTCCGCCAATCATTAATTTACGGTTCGGTTGTGGGTTATCATATATAAACTAATGTTTTCCATCTTTCTCTTTCAAAAATCTTATTTATCATTTCTTTTAACCCGATTCAAAAAAATTCATCTCAATTAGTTGAACTTTTATTATACTACTCACAGTTAAAAAATTATCACAGTTCATTTTTGAGTAAGTTTTGATTAAAGGGAAAGAATATTAATTAGAATGTCGGTGCCTATTATTAAATTCATCCATTTGATAATTATTCAATATCAAAATCATTCAATGGATATGTCATCGACTAAACTAGACTGTATAATATTTTTTATCTATCAGGATTAGGTTTAAATCTCCATCCATTTTTTTCGGTAATATTCTTTAAATATAATGATATTTAATGAATGAAAACTTTATTATTATTCTTTTTTATCTTGCACTTAGTTTTGTGGATCGATTTTAATTTGGAATTTTTAGTTTTATTAAATTAAACTCTAAACTCAAATCAATTTTAATATTAATATTTTTTTAGTACAGTAAAGAGGGTGGTTCATGATTTTTTTGTCAAGGATAGATGCCAATTACGACCGAACTAAGCTCATGTTGATAATATTAATAATTTGTTGTTTCGTCAAAGTAAATTATATACTTGTCCTTAACAACTAATAAAGTACATAAAATTCGACCCGTAATCAAGTTAAAATAACACTCTAAGTCCAACTTTAATGTTCAAATTCTAGTAGTTACCACATATATTGATTAAGCAGCATATGTTATGGAAATTCAAAGAGTATTATTCCAGGGTATGTTTCATAAAACGTTCCTCATGCTTTCTTGTTTCTCGTTTCTTACTTGTTTTTTTTTAATAAATACAAATAAAATTGCTTGGTAACTCATTTTTGTTTATTGTTTTTTTATTCAAAAAATAAAACATAAGTATATTTGGTAACCTTCATTGTTTCTTATTCTCTACCATTAATTTTTTTTTTTAAAAAAATAAAGGTAAAAGTTTTATATGAAAACTAATTTTTAAATTAAATATAAAAAATTTTATGTTTTTATTTATTTTAAAAATATTTATCAAGTATTTGATAAACTAAAAATATTAAAATAATGTTTTTACCTAGGTTGTGGAAGAAATTAGAAACCAACCAGAAACAAAAAACTTGGTTGTTATTTTAAATGTGATACATGATCAGTTATAAGCACTTATATTTTTAAAAATTAGAAACAAAAAATAAAAAGTAAAAAGTAAAAAATGAAAACATTAATCAAATGAGACTATAATCTACTGGAATGACGTCCAAATTCAGAGAATCTTCAAATTATTTTTAATGGAAAAAAAACCCGAAAGAAAATCCAAGTAAACGAGTCACATTTAGGGTTGAATTGTAATTTACTCCACTCGAAACTAAATGAAATAATTATAAAAAAAAAACAAAAAGAAAAAAGACAAGTTATAAAGATGGAGAGACATACCAATTTCGTCCACTAAAATAGAATATTATTATCACAGCAAGTTGAAATCTTTGACCCACCAAATTAAAATATATTTCAATCGAAAAAAGAAAATTAGGTAATGGTACTTTTTTTTTTAATTTCTTTTTGGAGTACAGGTTATGGTACTATTTGTATTTTGAGAACGGTTTGAAATTTATTAAAAAAAATCATATATGATATATGTATAGTTACTTTTTGTATATTATATAGATGGTTATATTACATGAGGATCATGAATGGATATTTTTTTAAATGAAAAATCTATTTAGATAATTGTTTTTATTTGCATGATTGTAATTATAGCTCTTCTGTGTACTATAAAGTATAATCTTATTTTATTTTATTTTTGGCTTTTTATGCCCACAACCTCTCTCTTCAACATGGTGTACTGAGAAAATATTTTTTTTTCTGATTTTTTCTCCGTGCTGTATTTTATTTATACATTAAAAATAAATAAATATCCACTAAATAAGTACTGTATCAAGTGTCATCAAGTATCATAACGAAACCCAAATTTAATTTTGGGAAAACTTATAAAACTACGAGAATATGGTAGGTACGCCCTCTATTTACACTATGACTTTATCTTTATAAATAATAATAATTATTTGATATTAGTGAGCTCCAAATTATTTATAAATGGTTGATAAAAAATAAATAAAAATAGTATCCCTACTTTTGTAGTACTGAAACCATTTTTTATAACTAGACTAAAGACGTGATTTTTACGAACCATGGTGATGGAACAGTGTTAGAGTCATACGGTCTGATTGAGGCGACCATAAGTATGTAGGACACCCCTAAGTTGGTCCCATGTGACTCAGTCTCCCTACACCCAAATCTTCCACTGTTTTTTTTCCCTTTGCATTAATTTATACACATATCATATCATATGTAGTTCGAAGTTTCGTACTTGTTCTATTTTAGTCGGTAGAATTTCACTATTTCATTTTAGTGGTATTTTTTTTTCTTTCTTATTTACAAATTTTGATCTCTAAACTTCGACAATTGTGTATGGTAACTTTAAAAAAGCGTCTACAAAATTCTTAAATTTTTAATATTTTATCTAATAAATTTCTAAACTCTAAAAAGTGTTCATGAACTTTCAAATTTTTGCTCAATAGGTCCTTAAATTTTAATGACGGGATCTAGGTTTTGGTGGTTATTATACACATTTTTAAAGTTTAGAAGCCTATTATTGTTTACCCTATACATATAAAAAATATTACTAAAAATGTGACCTAAGGCTGTTAGTTCATTTTAATTTTATTTCAACAATATGTCGAGGATAGCTATTTAAACTTCCAAGTTGATGATATATGCCTTAATTAAATTATGCACGGGTGGACAACACCCTTACTTATTCCTATCATTTTTTTATTTTTATCATGCATGAATGTTAGTGAATTTAAATTGAAAACTTAAATATATATATATATATATATATATATATATATCAAAATATTTTTTGACTAAAAATTTAAACAATCGTTTGATTTGACAAAGTTCTCGCGTTTGGTTTTCCTTTTTTCTGAAACAAAGGCTGATGAAAAAAATAATGTCAAATTTGAGAGATTTGACATATTATGTTTCTAAAAAAACCATACAATTGGCAGAAAATGTTGTAATTTGTAAACAAGAAGGCAGCATGCAGGGTGGAAAAGTGTCAAAATCAAAATGCCTTTAAAAGATTATTGAAAAATATGTCCCTTTCTAAGAAAAAGTGAAACGTGTATTCTTTTAAGATATCAAATACTAGCCACAATTTTATTTTCATTCTTTTTCCTGGAGGAGACACAAGTTGTGAGCTGGCATTCATTGTAAACTATTTATTTTTCATTTTTTAAAAAATATTTTCAAAATTGTATAGGAATTTTAGAAACAACTAAAACAAATTTTTTTGATCCGTTTTCAATATAAACTCACGACTTTTTGACCAAAGATGGATGCCCAAGTTGAACTAGCTAAAATACCTTTTAAAGACTATATATTTAGTTTATCCAAAAGGGATAAAAACGAAAATGTTACCAAATCCTGTAAATTTAAAATTTAAAATATAAATGGACCCTTTTTATGGGTGAAAAGATATTGGGCCAATCTTACTTCAAACAAAAAGATGTTGGGCCATATTTTGGGTTTTGAAATGATTTTTCGTAGGAGGGGAAGATTTTCATCTACTAAAGATAATATTTAGATATTTACCATTATTTATCTTTATACTACCACCAAAAATTTTACAGCCTTTTAGCTTTTTGAAATCTATAAATATCTATTTTTATGTATTTCTCCATCCTATTTGTCAAAAATTTAATGACAATTAGTAAAAGAGGGGTGCATTCTTTACTAAAGACGTGCATTCTAATGCAATTTAATTATCTATGTAAAGTTGGAGTCAAATTCATGTCCTCAACAAGAAATTAAAAAATAATCAAATGCAACTTCAAAGTTTTGCTATTCATTAAATTGAGCATTACAATTAAATTAGTGAAATTAATATTTTCAATTTGCTAAATTTTCAACGTATAGTATAAATTGCAAGAAGCAAATATTGATAATTAATCATAGTTTTATTTTATATATCGAGTGAAATATGGCGTTTAGCTCAGGCGATTTTAGCTCTCTTAAACAAAAAGTGCAGGCTTAAGAAAGAAATGAAATGCCAAAATGTGTCTTCAAAATAAAAAGTTCAACTTGGTTTGAATTTGGTCTGGATTTAGTTTCAGTTTAATCCCTATAGTTTCAAAAGTTTCAATTTATTCCCTATGGTTTAGTCAAACTTCACAAATCGTATAAACCATTATCATATTAATAATTTTTTAATTTCATGTAATAGTTTTCTATTTGGGTAACTGTGTAAGTTGAATGCTTGAAGGTGCAAAATCTATAATAAATAGAAGTGAAATCTATTTCTTGTTTTGGAATATTAGAAAAGATTGGCTAAATCCATACACATTCATCTGAGACTTTTTTTTTTTTTAAATAGATGTTATCTTTTGGTCTCCATCCGTCTATGGCTATTTTATCGTTCATTTTACCTTCGCCCTTTTCTTAGCTGATCTTCGATCAATCCAAGTTGGGTCGATGTCCTCAATCATGTTCAACTGCAAGAACCTAATCTTAATCGCCCCTATTGATTATTGGGGTGGGTTTAAGACTTATCACATTTAGTAACTATTTATTATTTCTTTAAAATTTTAAATTAGAAGGAAAAAATCAATATGAAAATTAATTTTTGAATTTAAATTTTCAAACTTTTAACATTTATTATTATGAACTTATAAGTCATGAATAATATAGAAATTACTTTTATTTATGTTCAGTAAACAAAGAAATAACCTTGGTCTGTTTTAGGAATAATTTTAGAATCAGTAATTTTAGCAAAAGAGATTTAATAATAATTGATTTTGTGAAAGTGAATTATTTTAAAATAATGTTTGGTTGCACACTTTTTAAATGATTTTGAATGATTAATATTTGAAGTTCAAAGAGAGAATTTGACAAAATTTTTAGACATAAATAAAAAACTAAAAATTTAGAGAGATATTACAAAAATTTTAGAAAAAAAATTAGAGAGGATAAACAAAATTAGACATAAATAAAGTTTGTTAATTTTTTAACCAAAAATCACTTGGGAATCACCTCCTAAGTGATTGATCAAGAATCACTAAAAGTGATTTTGAATCTTTTCAAAATCATTTGAAAATTATTATAGTGATTTTGATATTAGTGAAAGTGATTCCAGCCATGCTAAAATCACCTCCCAAAGATTTCATACTTTTTTACTGGAAAGAATTTTACGTTTGACAAACTAAGACAAAGGGCAAAGGGGTCAATTGACCCTACCCTAGGTAGGGTCAATGGGTAGGACTTTTGTTTAGGTATCCTTTGTATGCTTTTGGGTTTAGCTTGTTATGACATGTTTATGTCTTTAGTAAGGATTAGCCTTGGAAGGAGAGCTCAAAAGATTGGACATCTTATATGGACAGAGTTTGTTCTCGCTTGAATATCAAAACTTGTAAGGAAGATATCTTATAAATGAACCACGGTTTGAACTTATTCGTTCTAAGCCCTTTACTATTTACATTGATCCTTATTGACCACTAAAAGCCAATCGAGGTACCTAGATTATTTGAACTCACACCCCTCCCCACCGAATTAATCCCAAGGGAGGGCGGAGAAAAATGGATAAATTCCACTATAGGAGAAGAATCATTCAATAATCATTTGCTAAACTAACATATCATGTCCTGTTCCAAGCCAACCATGGATGGTAGTCTGCCAAAATATATCAAATAGGTACCAAAAGCTTCAAGTGATATATGATTTTGTTGAGAATGCAAGGAAGTATGAACCAAAATATAGGCTAATAATCAAGAATGGACTCGACAATAAGGTAGAAAAATAAAGATAGCAGTTGAAGGAACAAGGCATCAGATGCTACCTTGTGAAGACAGGGAAGAAGAAATGAGATTGCTGGAACTGTTTGCTTGTCACCAAAGATCTCCACAACAATAAGTTGTTCATAAAATTAGAAAAATGTAGAATCATCTGTTGGTTGCAAATGAGATGACAATAAGATCACACCAAATATGATAGCAAATATTAGGAATACTTCATTTTCTTATTGAGGTAATTGACTCATTGAGACAATTCTAACCTTAATTTACATTTTCATCCAATTGAATCTTAATCATGAATAAGTAGTGAAATTAATGCCTTAATTACTTGAGTTGAGGTTCGATTTTGTTTTTTAATATTTGTGGGCATAAATTCTTTTGGTCATGTGGGATGTTTTTACTAGCTTTTGGCATTATATTATTGAGTTTGGATGCTTTTCTACTTAATTTTGTGCAAGGTTTTAGTATTTTCATAGTTGAGTTTGGATATTCTTTTACTTGTTTCAAGTAGTTTAATTTTTATGTGGTATATTATTGATTGGTTTATGGAAAATTTTCTAATGTAGTTTTGAGGAGGTATATGACATCACTAACCTATTCAGGTTTACGATTCAATTGGATAAAATTAAAAGTTATTATGTAACAAAACATCTGGATTTAAGGCTCTCTAGAGAATCCCAGTGGCACATATAACAACAAAATATAGTAACAATAGTTTCCAACCCTTGATTTTTTCCAAACTCTAAATATGCCTAGAATGTCATTTTCACAAGAAACATTATTCTGCAAAAAGATAACCAAGCACCAGCACAAAGATAATAATTTGGAGTAGTAACAAATAAGAATATTTTTAATCAAATAAAGGAAAATTGAGAATGACATTACTGATTTTTTTCAACATCCAGGGATATTCCATGCTTCTATTCCTTGATGAAGCCACTGACAAGGCAAAGATTCTGAACAGCAGTATGAGTCTTGGTTTAAGCTCATAAAGTCAAACAAAAAATTACTCTTTGAAACATTTTCAGGTAAAGATAAACATAGCATGTCATCTTCCACGTCCTATTTCCATTGCATTTTTAGTATGCTACTACCCAAATGTAAAAAATTTCAATCCATTATGTTTATAGAAGAAAAAATAATCCATATAAATACATGTTGAAAATGAATTCTAAATTAATATCCTACTAGAGCAAAAGGATAGATAATAGAAACATTTAGTGCCAGAAATAACATCCCAAGAAATTTAAATAAAAAAAGTTGAAGGTTGGAACCTGTAAGTAAGCCATGCATACTAGTCTTCCCAAATAAATCAAACAAAACCCAAAAGCTTTTTTTGGTAAATGATCTATAAAATAGGTGTTCTCATTTTCCTAGTTTCATACTTTCATAACTCCATTGAAAAAACTACTCCTAACAACTGACGATGAAAAAAGAAGACTAGCACAGTAAACCTTTAACAAAATTTAGTGAGAAGGTAAAAAAAAAAGATGCAAATTATGATATAGATGGGATTGGCAAATCCTTTTCTGTATAACTTCTTAGCTGAACCATTGTATACAGGTGTAATGCTCACTTGGATGAATCAATATCCTGTGCGTAAACCAATCCCAAAGAATTGAAGAATTGCAAACCAAAAATATTGTTACCAAAATGACAGAACATGAAAAAATCCAATAGCTTGACCAGATCTCAACACGAGATATCTTGAGACAGATGTATCATCTTGGCACTACCAATAGGATTTCACTGGATTGCAACTGTCAATTTAACATCTCAATTACAAATTGACTCCTAAAAATTCATAGTGTCTCTATACTAGCACTCCAAATAGTATGACCAGTACAAGAGTGTAGTGGAGATAATATGCAATGCCCCCAAGGGGCAGCCCAATTGGTAAGGGAGGCTTAGAGATCTGAAGTTCCAACTTTTCGATGTGTTTAATACCAAAAACTATATCTTTTGGGTCCAGGCCTTAGGGCGGACGCGGGTGACCCTGGATATAGGGGAGCAAAAGTTCGACTCCCCAGTCATCAAAAAAAAAAAAAAACATCAAAGTCCATATGACCAAGCTGTTCTACAAACCCCAAAGACTCCAAAGAGCACTCATGTTGAGAACCAGATGAATAACACTTGTACGGTAAAAGGCCGAAGTTATTATGCTCCATGGCAGTTTCATATACTCAACCCCACATGTGAGTATCCAATACTTTCTTCTGGATGTAAAACCATATAGCACAGAAAATCCCTATAATCCCCACTACTTTGTATCTACAAGAAATACTACTCATACGCAGACTACAATTTTTCATAAGAATTAGAAAATGAACAATTTAGCAAAAGTCATGAAGCAACTTCTTAAAGTATCACATGATTCACATCAGAAAAATTATCAGAATTCCATAATTTATTCAATCCACATTGAAGCGGAAATTCAGAATTAAGCAGGTCAAGACACCCAGATCGATAACAGAACAAGAAAAGTATGTTCCTCCTCTACCAATCCATCCACTGTGCTAATCTTTTTCCTCACTAATCCAGAACAAACCTAAACACTTTGTAGTTCAATCATTATTGAACATCAAAATAATGAAAATTCATATAATTTTATCCAAAAAAAAAATTATATATAAATATAAATATATATATATATATATATTTAGAAGAAAGTTATGCTCTCATCTCCTTCCTTCTTTAATGTAAAACTCTTGCTCTAAAGAAAGTATCTCTTTTGCACTAAAGTTGTGCTCTCCTATTATTCTTTAATTTAAAATTCCTTTGATCCTAAGAAAGTATCTTTTTCTCTCCGTAAATACAAAACCATAAAACTCTATTAAAAAAAACATTGTTATTTCTCCATTTTATTGACCAAAACAATCCACGTTTCCTCTTGCAGCAATATCCCTAATATATTTTATTCTAGTGCTTCCATTATTTAAATTCCCTCAAACCTTCTTTCGCCATCTTTGGAAGTGAAGCATGTTTACCCTCATTTCGTTATCCACCTTGTTAATCTTTACGATCTTTTTTCCTCGTTGGCTCCATAACAAACCTTAAACATAGTAGTTCAATCATTATCTTCAATCCAAGTAACAAAAAAATTTACTCTCTCCTCCATGACAAGAGCTCTATAGAAAAACGTTGTGGACACAAAGTTTTCTCTATAACTTTTGAACAACTTTTAAAACTAACAAAATCATGTACCATCAAATCTCCAATTTCAATGAACTTTGTGTCCAAGAATAATCTTCAACTTTTTTTCTTTTTAACAAGATGCAAAATTTTCATTGATGAATGAAAATAAGCAAAAATGTTAAAAGATACAAACTCCAACTACAATTAAAAACAAAGGTAAGTGATGCATGTTTAAACCCTCATTTCATCATCCAACTTGTTTTATTTTTATTTTTATTTTTTGATAACGGGGAGTCGGAGCTTTGCTCCCCTGTACCCAGAGGCACCCGCGCCCACCCCAAGGCTCAGACCCGTGATTCATCATCCACCTTGTTAATCTTTACTACCTCTTTTTTCCTCCTTGGCTCCGAAACAAACCATACATAGTATACTTCATCCAATCCAAGCAACAAATAATTTTATTCTCCTCTCCGTAAAAGAGCTCTATATAAAAATGTTGTGGTCTGATCTCATTCTCTAGTCTAAAATTCAATTATCCAAACGAATTATCTTTTTCCCTTAGTGAATACAAAACCATAGAACTCTACAAATCACAAATATTGTCCTTTATCCATCTAATTGACATATAATCCACCTTTTCTTCAGCACTGATAGCCTGAATATCTTTTATTCAAGTATTTTCATTGTTCAAAATTCCCCCAACCCCCTTTGCCATCCCTCAATTATTGCTTATAGACTTATGAGTTTACTCAATAACTTGTCTAAAAACTTAAAAAACTGAATTACTCTCCATCACTCGTCAAAAACTTAGATCAATCATTATATCCAATCCAAATAATCAAAATTTCTCATCCACTTCTCATAACAAGAATCTTACAACTTGGAGTGGTCTCTTTTCATCATTTAATCCAAGACCCAATCAGTCTAAAACATTGTCCTTTATCCATTCTCATCGACCTATACAACTTGACTTTTCCTTGGCATCAATAGCTCTAGTATCTCTTATTCTAGTGCTTCCATTGTTTAAAATTCCCTCAAACATCTTTTCACCATCTTTCAAATGTTCCTTTTAGACTTATGAGTTACTGCATAACTTGTCCAAAGTATTTTACTCAATCCATATACCACTAAATCACAATTGAAATAAACTTTTGTGTCCAATATAAATCCTCATTTATGATAACCAAATGGAAGCTTATCATAATTTCTAATGCTTTGCCCATTATCTTAAAACTTCATCCACTTTGCTCAACTTTTTGCTAATCTTTACACCCTCTTTTCCTCAATGACATAAAAATAAACCTTAATAACTTGGTAGCTCAATGATTATATCTAGTCCAAATAATAAAAATTCCCATCCCCCTCTCATACCAGGAATTTTACAAAAAATTTTGTAGTCTCTTTTCATCCTTTAATCCAAAACCCAATCAATCTAAAATATTGTCCTTTATCCATCTCATTGACCTATATCATTCGACTTTTCTTTGGCACCAACCAATAGATCTAATATCCTTCATTCCAGTGCTTTGTTTAAATTTTCTCAAACAACTTTTCACCATCCTTTGATTGTTCCTTTTAGACTTATGAATTACTCCATAACTTGTCAAAAACATTGAAAAATTCAAGTCATATACCACTAAATCAACAATTTGAAAAAAAATTGCGTCCAATATAAACCCTCTAACTATGACGACCAAAAAGAAGCATTTCACAATCATCTTAAAACTTCATCCACTTTGCTAAACCTTTTGCTAATCTTTACACCCATTTTTCCTCACTAACCCAAAAATAAACCTTAATAACTTGATAGCTCAATCATTATCTCCAATCTAAACAATGAAAATTCCTATCCTTTCCTCGTAACAAGAATCTTAAAAAAATGATGTTGTCCTTTTTCATCCTTTAATCCAAAACTCAATCAATCTAAAATATTGTCCTTCATCCATCTCATTGACCTATACAATTCGACTTTTCTTTGGCATCAATAGCACTGATATCTTTTATTCTAGTACTTCCATTATTCAAAATTCTATCAAACATCTTTTCACCATCCTTCAATTGTCGCTTTTAGACTTATTAGTGACTCCATAACTTGTCAAAAACATTGTAAAACTCAATTCATACACCACTGAGTTAATAAACTTTGTGTCCAACATAAATCCTCAATCGTGACGACCAAAGGGAAGCAACTCAATTCATCCACCATTACATATATCTTCTCACTTTATGAGTTTCCCCACCACTTGTCCAATGTTAAACTCAAAACCATATAGCAACGAAATTAACAATTTGAACAAACTTCACATCCAAGAAAAACCCATGACTACGAAATCTATAGGAGATGTGATTTACAAATGCCTTAAACTTCCCAGTTCCCACATAAGACAACTTATACAATTTCCAAACTTCTTTATGTCATCTTGATCCAAAATACTTTTCAAAAAAATCTAAAGTTTTTGGTGCCAGTATATATCTATTCCAGTGCGTAGTCCTCCATCCACCAATACATATATCTTTTCTCACTTTATGAGTGAGTAGTCCTCCATCAACCATTACATACATCTTTTCTCACTTTACGAGTTTCTCCACCACTTGTCCAATGTAAAACTCAAGATATATGCCAACGGATTTCCAATTTGAACAACCTTCATATCCAATAAAAATCAACGACTAGAAAAATCCAAATGTAGTTGTGATTTATAAATGCCTTAAACTTCCTACACAGTCCTATACAATATCCAAACTTCTTTATTTCATCTTGTTCCAAAATAAACTTTTCAAAAAATTCTAGAGTTTTAGGTGCTAATATATCTATTCCAGT